AAATAAAATGCACTTACCATGAATTAATGCGTTTTCGAATAGCAGAAATATAAATTTCATACCGCCTTTAACATGCCGCCACGTAATCACTATAGTATTTACATGACAGCCAGACACACTATCCAGAAAATTTATACTATGGGTTCACAAATAAATAAAATCACAAATCCCTACTTCTATCATGCACTGCCATTAAAAATAATCTCCCAGACCCTCTTTCCACACTTCCAAATACCCACTATCCCTCAACAGGATAGCCACAATGATATTTCCTTTTGTCGAACTTCAATTCAGCAACTACCATTTTATCTTTTCCTCCCATCTTCTCAGACACAGAGGCAAATCAACGAGCTCCAGCGAAAGATTTTTCAACGTCAACAGGGTTGCCATAGAACACGCAATCGTGCCAAAAACCAGCGCTGAACACATATCGCCACATTTGGTGAAATTAGGGCATATATTAGAGTTGTACCCAAGAATTTAACATAATTTTTTTTCCTAATGACTTAGAAATGAAAATTGCAATATTGCACTGATGTGCTTTCACATATACACAAAATAAACAGTTCAGATTCTATCACACCAATTTATAGCTAAACTTTAAACATAAATACACTGATGTGTTGTTTATTTACGGGAATGGATTTTTCCCATTTTCATACAAAAGAAAAATATCTCGTTAGATATATAAATGAAACACTTTGATTGTTTTAAAAAACTCTTATCAACTGGCGTACTATAAAATGCACTGATGTGCTTCACGTTAATGAGAAAATGTTTTCCCAAATATACCACAAAAGGAAAATATTTTGTTAGATATATAAACCAAACACATTGAGTGCATAAAACTCTTATGCACTGACATGCTACTTCTGCTTTGGAAACTGATTTCCCGAATAAGTAATAAATAACTACGTTATACTCTTCAGGCCTGGAAATGAATATTGTGGAGAACACATACCTGGTTTCTTGTCACACTGATCTTGGTGGAACCTTCAAATTATTTTATCTGTGATGTCGTGGATGCTTCAGTGGTAACAGAATTAACACTGGTATTAATGATGCACCACTTTTTATTCACAGCACATACCACAGATACAACATTTAATTAATACATTTAGAAAACTTTAGTAAATATTCGAGCTGGTGACACGATCTGGTGACAGAGACGTTATCGAAGATGGCACTTGTCACCACTGGACGAATTAAGTCTCCACACCTCAGCTCGCTGGCGGAGCTTCCCAAAACTCTCTCTGACAGGCGTCCGACCAGAGTCTCTTCTCTTTACGCATGCATATTACTCAGTTAAGTCGTTGCCATTGACAGTTCCTTAAAATAGGTATTAAAATGAATTATAGTCCTCGTAGTGTCAGGAGTCTGCTAACGAAGTTCTCTCTAGTCGAGAGCATCATAGGTCTTTCTAGTAGAGTTCAGAAGCGTTCTTTACACCAGCACCAACATGGATGTACAAGCGAAGAAACAAGGTAAAAAGATTTAAGATTGTCCTGTTAAATTTAGAAGTCACACAACAAAAATCAGCATTATATTTTCAAATTTTCACAGGACTAGTTTTGATGGTTCAGTAAAACCATCGAAATCGCTGATTTTTGTTGTTTGATTTCTAAATTAATATTTGTTCAGCGTGTTATTGTACCTTAATTGTTCTATTTGTTCCAACTGTTTAATTAGAATTTAGATTGCTCATGAAACTTCCCTTACTTAATATTGGAAATATGGATGAAACACCAATGAACTGCAACTCCATAAACAACAGAACTGTGGGAAAAAAGGATGTAAGAACTATTAAAGTTCAAAGTACAGGCCATGAAAAGATCAGATTTACAGTAGTATTGACATGCATGGCAGATAGAACAAAGTTAAAATGCATGGTCATTTTCAAAAGAAAAGCAATGGTTGGATGAGAATGTTGTAAAATCGTGGACAAGAAACGTATAGCAGAGGCAAACAGGTGCTCTAAGAAAACAACACAGCTTGTTCGTATGGAATATGTTTTGTAGTCACGTAACTGAGAACACTAAAAATCGCTTAGCGTGGAACAAAACTAAGATTGCTCTTATACTAGGTGATTTAACTTTAATGCTACAACCTTTAGACATCTCTCTGAATGAACTATTCAAAGATCACATGTATGAACAATGGAATAACTAGGCGATAAGTAGCAAAAGGGAATATATGAAAGGTAGAGCTATGCTGGCTGCATCACATGATGTGCTGTTTGATTTCATGATCCAATCATGAGAAAAAGGAAAAGTAGGAACAGTGATCAAATCCTTCAAAAAGTGTGGGATTTGTAATGTATGGATGGTGATAAGGACAAATTGTTACGAGATACTGATGACAATGCAGAAATTGACACATTGGTTAAAAAAGGGGATCCATATGACGAGCCTCTTGACAACGAAAGTGAAGATGTACTTATGTAGCTATTTGCCTTAGAAGATGAATGTGAGAATTTTTAAACATACTGGTGAGTCATTTGCTTTATTTTATAATAGTTTTAATTTATATACATTCCAATATATATAATTTTGGTATCTGTCCTGTAAGAGGACGTTGGATTTTGGAGGCCTTTTTTATGATTCAATTATGGCCTTATTTGCAGAAATATATGATAATAAGAATTTTACTAAATGATGTTAACGGCAAAAAGAGGTGAAGCCAAGATCTAATGTTTCAGTACTGTTTAGGCAACTTCGAAAAAGAGAGGTAAGTTGGCTGTTATTATTTTCTGTGTATTGGTTGTGCTATTAAAAAGGCGGTTATGCTGATTACGTAATATGTATTTCAAGAAGCGGATAGCAAGAGTGTCCATCGGAGTAGAGTATGTAAAAATTCTTATTTGTGTGTTTAAATTTTGCTAAGAAAAGCAACATTAAAAATAAAACAGTCCACTACGTTTGTGTGTGAATTTCATGACTTTTGCTTTCAAGTGTGTTAAAATACAATGATCGAACAAATTAATTGAAAAACAAAAATCCTCTTTTTTCCTGTATTAAATATACAGGTATGAGATGATGATCTTGATGCTTAATGATCTAGTGTCAAGCAGAGATCCTGCATACACATGGAGCTCTATCATCCTATTCATATTCTTTCTGAGTATTAAAGATGTAAAGTTATCTGATAAAGAGAAATTTGTAAAAAATGTGGTTTGACATATATCCACCAAACTAAAAGACTGTTAAAATTTCTCATTAGGAAACATGAATCGCTTGTTTGATAAGGAGAAATAAACAAATTTTGATATCTAATCACAAATGGATACTTAATCATAATTATGACTTTGGATCTAGGTTATCTGTAAAGCTTATTCAGTTAGTATAATTTAGATTTCTATGAATCCTTCCACGTTAACAAAAAGTTTTCTACTTTAGTTAATGATATAAATTTTTTAATGTTTTCATATTTCTAAGGCCCATATAACACGGTGTTTGTTTCTTTGTTTCACTCGAACAACTGTTTCGGACAATTTTTCTGCCTGGTTTACTATTGAAAGAAAGACGCGCGATTTTTTCCTTCCTTTCCAAAAAAATTGCAGGTTGTTCGTTTTCAACCAATTAGCTATCAGCTTGTTTGTAATGGGGAACCAGTTTCTCCAGCGTTAAACCCCAAAGTGATCTATGGTGATTGGCTGTTGTGACAAAGCAGAAAAATTGTTCCAAACAGTTGTTCTTTTGAAACAAACCGACGTGTGACAGCAGCCTAATACAGTTTTTTTCATGTTTCAGTCCTGTTTCCCTTGGTAAGTCTCATTACATTTGTTTTCATTTTGTTCCACTCACTTCTTATCACTTCTCCGACTACTGAAATTTTCTTTTCCCTTTCTGAAATAGAGACACCTATGCCTGATTGCTTTCGAAACTCTTTTAAAAATCTATGCCAAAATAAGGTTGTTTTTCCATCTGATTTTCTATCTATAATCTCTTTAAAGCATTTAATAAAGTCAAAAATGTAGAACATGTCCATAAATCTTCTTGCTGTGCATGTTGGAAATAGCCTTTTTTCAGATACATCTGGAAAAATTTTACTAAAACATTGTTGCATGTTTTTTGTCTACACATACACACTGTCAGCTAAATATGTTATTGGTTAAATGTGCAGCTAAATGCCCCTGTTAGTTAACTACCTTGTTGGCTAAATATCTGTATCGATTAAATATCCTGTTGGCTAAATGCTTGTGTCAGGTAAATGTCCTGTTGGCTGACTGTGTGTGTCAGCTAAACGTGTGTGTCGGCTAAACATATGTGTCAGCTAAACGTCCAGTCAGGCAACTGTTGTGAGCTAAATGTCTCGTAAGCTAACTGAATTTTGGCTAAGAGTCCATGACCAATATTTTTTGCTTAATTACATGGTCAATCCTAAAGTTTATTATCTTCAGATTAAAAATGTTCGCTCATGATGAGTATACAGTAAAGTATGAATCAAGCCAGCAAATCACGATAAGGCAATCAATCTTCTATGGGAAAGATTGCATTAATGGAAGAGTTTCTAAAGGAAACTGAGCTAGTTGTATTTACATCACTCATTAAGAAAACATAATACAGACTATTCTACCATTTAAAAAGAATAACAGCTGGTATGAACTAGTATTTCATAGTTTTAACTATTTGACCCTAATAATGTTTGGATAATTTTCATGTGAAAAATAAAATGGATATTTATAAATAATATGTAGACTAATAACAGCAACAATGCTAATCAAGTATAAAATAATTAGAACTGCATATTTATTAACATATTCAAAGTCATCCAGAAGAATGTTTTATGTTATTCCAAAAAATAAAATCTTAAAAATGTGTTCTCTGAAAAGAAGCATGTTGTTTTCTAAAATTGATTAAATACTACGTATTCCTGCTATACATCTACAGGAAGGAAAAAATAAATCACAAAGAAATTTCTATTTTACATTCACAAAATTGTTAAACTGCATCAAATATTGTACTTATGTGTAATTAAACTAAACAGATAAAAAGTCTTACTCATGCAATAAAGGTCTAGCAACAGTTGATCCTTCAGTATGAGCAAAATGAAACAATGTATACAAATATGGCAGAAGCTCGTACCTAGTGTAAAGGGCTCGATTTACTATTTCAACAAATTCTTTACCAAAACTTGCAGGGTCTTGGTCCTATGGTTTAAAAAAAAAAAGTGCAGTGAATTTTTAGGATAAAAAATAAAATTTGGATAATAAAAAATAAATAAAATAAAATAAAAATAATAAGTAAATACAATAAAATTTAGGATAATAAATAAAATAATAAATAAATAAAATTTAGGATAATTAATAAACAGACAATAACAAAAAATTACAATCTGAAAACTTTCCATTGCAGTCAAACATTCTACAGAAGAATTTAACATTAAAATTTCTAAACATTTGAAATAGAAAAAAACATAAAAAGTTCAAAATCAACAATTACCTACCAATTACATAATAAATAGTGTTACTGACTACAACAAAGCTGCAAATATTCAAAAAATTATCAGTTGGATAAACTACAAATTAAATATTTTTATTTTATACCAATTACATATATTATTTGAAAAAAGTTTTTTTTTAAATTTAATTTGTAAGATTTCTTTTAAAATATTATGTTCATTAATCAATAGCCCAGTGATTAAATCTGAAAGATAAAGATTTTCTGCTGTTCTGTATGGCTACATTCTGAGAACTTGATATGCATGGGAAGATAAATTAAAGGTCTTAGTTGGGAAGATAAATTAAAGTTTCATGCAGTAGCAATATTTGCCAATTTTGTTGTTTTGGTTCTTGAATCCTTCCATTCTTTTTTGTTTGTAAATTTCAGAAGTATGTCTGAGGATTTTATCATGTCAGAATAGGTAGCAATATCACATTGTAGCAGAAAATAATACACCTCCTCTGAGGTAAAGGAATCTACTAACTCAAGGTGTAATATCCTCCTAATTGCCGATTACTGGAAAAACAACAAATAAAATGAGTTATGCAAACAATGAACTCAAGAAGTTTCGTTTTAAAAAAATATAAAAAAAGCGTATTACAAATACTTAAAAATTTACATATGAAATACTGCAGATTATACATAATTTCTGGAAAGTTTTCATTTATAGAAAAATAACTAATTAGTTTTATTTTCACTTATATCCAAAGCATAGCTGCTTTTGATTGAAGTTTATTCTTTTCTGTTACGAGATTGAAATTTTTTTAACTTTAGCTCTAAAAAATTAATAAGTTAGGACTGCATGAAAAGCAATCTTACTTTTGAATCAATAGAATTATGATTGCGACTGAAAGGATAAAATGCTCCTATCTGCATCCATCGCATACAAAGTTCCTCAGTCGCATTTCCAGCAAATCCACAGATATCAGCACCCACCTGATGTAAAAGAGTCACACATCAGAGAAATATAACTTCAGGAAATAAAATTTCTAAACAACTCAGTAAATAATTTCTGAGAAATAACTATTACTTCTTAGAATAAAAAATGCTTATTTCTGTTAATTTAATCCTCATTTGAATTATCCAACCAAAATGAAAATTAGTTACAAAAACAGTAGTGATATAAGGTTTCACCAATTTACAGGAAAAAATCGTTATGGAAATATTTATGATCTAAATATGTATCATATTAAAATATTTTATATATTTCTTCAGTGCATTATTTTTACATAAAATAATATAAATATATTTTAATGCATAAAAATATATTTTATATATTTAATTTTATATTCACATGAGTCTCCATTTCTTATAAAATACATTAGGGGTATAATATATAATAAAAATTGTTTAAGCATATCTGGATTCCTTTTTTTCATACATACTTAGGATTTATTAATTAATAAAAAACAAGCTTACATTTAAGGAACAATTCTATCCATATTACACACAGCAAGCTCTTCTTTTATGCCAAAAAGCACTATACATTAAGACTGTTTATTGTCATTTACATTACATAAGCACAAAGTTAAAAACAAAAATGTTCAAAATAAATACTTAAAACATGCATTTTCAAAACATAAAAATGTTGAAGAACATCACAATATTAAAAAACTTGTATTACAACAATAAATTGGTGAACAAATCCAACACATACAAAAATGCTGTAAGACAGTTCTGTCTTAATTAACATATATGGGTGATTGGTATGTATGCTGCAGAAATCATGAAGACAAGATTTCTAAAGGTGGGAAAAATATTCAAATTTAAGCTGTTGGGAGAAAATATGGCAGTGAAAAGATTATGAATCCAAGTGAGATAATATAATTTTAACAAGAACATTACAATAAAATTTTACTAAGTTACCTGCTTAAGAACTTTATAAATACTGATATGAAGTTAACATAGCCACATGAAGTATTTCAGGAGAAGCAGTTGTACCACATTGTGCTGCTCAGGCAAAAAAAAAGCACATGTCACTGATACTAATTCAGAAGTCAAACAACAAAAATCAGCATTATATTTTCAAATTTTCACAGGACTAGTTTCGATGGTTTTACCAAACCATCATCCTCAGCTGCAAAAGCGCAAACGAACAAGATAGGATATAATGATTACATAAGATAAGAAAGCCTGGACAGGCTATAAGCTACTGGCGCAATCTGTTGATGAAACCAGAACTAAAACATAATTTCTGTAAAGGCTGAAGGCAAAGAAGGATTCGAATTAGGGTCGTTATCTAGAACAGAGAGATTCTTTTCAATGTGAAATGCCTCTAGAAAATCCAATTCACCAATGGAAGATGTTTTTTGAATAATTTTGGCAGCAGAAAAGTTGAAAGTTTTTTTGTTGTTTGACTTCTGAATTAGTATTTGTTCGGCATATTATTGTGTCTTAACATGTCATTGACATACGTTATTTTTTAAGATCCACAGGAATACAAGTCCAAAGTATGGGATGACTTTACATTTGAAAAATTTCAAAAGATAGCACAATTGATCATCACAAAAGTTGGCACAAATAACTCTTTGCCTGAATAGATACAAAAGATGGCATAAGTAATTATTTGTCTGTTATCTAAATTAAAATAGTAATGGCCAAACATCAAATACTCTTTTCCCAGGGCTTAATTTCTAAAATCAGAAGTGACGGAGTGTTATGGATGCCATCAGGAAGAACAGGAAAAATAAATAAACAAAATAACTAATAAACAACCAAAACTAATGAAATCTGAATTCTTTCAGATTTTACATTACACCCAAAGGGACTTTTTTTTTTTTTTTTATTACCTTTATTAAATATCATGTTCTTTGCTCTTAAACCATAAAATTCAATTCAACGGCAATATCGCAAAATAATTTTTAAACAAGCAAATCTTTAGAATTTCCCATACATAGTCTCGCGCGCTGGAGAAAGGAAAGTTTTTTTTTTCCGTACAGTGTGGTTGGGAGATTTTCTTTCCTTATAAAGTCTTTCAGAGAAAGACAGGCATGCATTCGGAAGTTAAAATCGATTTTTTAAATAAAATTTGCCTCCTAAATTTGTGTTTTATTACATAAAAGAAGTGCCAGAGTCCTTTCAGGGCTAGAATCACGTTTTACTTCAGAAACTAAGAAGTACCGCAGCTGAGCTCTGCACAAATTTAAGCTCTGTCTGTTCCTGCAAAACGGAAAATCACCATGTGATACAAAGAACCTACGATAAAATTCATAATGGCTTTATACCATGTAATAAACATAATGAACCATATAAGGATGCGAAAAATCAAAATGTGACAATTAAGAGAATTCACCATTTCCTGTAAGTGAAAATGCACCTTGCCTGTCAAGAATATTTGAAGGACACATATCAACCACTTTTAATAAAAAGTGCAGAGTGAAGTCAGTGCACTTAGGCTGAAACTTCATAATTTTATCTCTTAAATGATGTGGATCTTGCACAGATACTACTTAAAAGTGGATTGCCAAAACCTTATACATGAAGACCAAAGAATGGACTTTTTATATGTTACTAACTACTCAAATATTTAATTGAAGAATATACTGTGGGATCTGTTATAGTAAAAGTTACATTGTTAATCATTTCTATTACAATCAGATAGATGCCTTCTCCTTCCGAGGCACATAACAAAATTGCTAGTTGTTTCAAATTACTTAATCATTTTTTAATCCTTTGGGGATGTGATGGACATGGGCATTTTTCTTATATGTTTGACACAATAATATTTTCAAAGCAAGCAACGGCACTGTTGCTATTATGACAAAAGTATTTCACCAAAAGGATTCATTATCATATTGCAGAATTTTTTCGATACCAGGAAACTGAAAAAACATGGAAGAAAAATTTAATTAATGAATATCAATCCAGTAAATTCTTGGCATGCACACATGGCATTGCCCTATTACAGCAAAATAAATACAACACTCACAGGAATTATTCTGATGGACAATTTTCATGATAATAGTCAATTTTCATATGCTAATTTTTTACAGTTTATTTAATTTGATTGACTTGCATGTATTTAAGTTTTTTAGTTGCAAGAGTATATTTATTTTGAATAAAGCTCAAAGTACCCCGCTGATGGAACCAAAAAATTCTCCCTCAGGTGAAGAAAGAGATAAGTTGTCTCAATTTAATTTAATTGTTTTAATTTAATTTTATTGTTTCTTGATAGGCCAAATCAGCAGACTGAGTTTATCATTTTAGGCTAGGCTATGTATGCTTTTATGATTATACGTTGACTCTCAACCATGCAAAAACTTCTAGTAGATGTCCAACATGAATTACTTTGTTTTTGCACAATAGCTTTTCATTGGCACCATGAGTACACTGTAAATTCATGGAAGTTTGGTGGACTGGCTATCTATTAATAGTTGTTAACTAATGTTGGAATATGTAAAGAATCAAAGAGTCATTAGCAACAAGAAAGTATCACAAAATGAATTCAAGTATTTTTTTTTTTTTTCCTTCAAAATAGGTTTGGCAGTCAACATGCTAATACTGTTTACAACTCCTCAAACACTATTCCCTTTGAGTGTCACATAAAGATAGTTTCATGTTTTGAGCAGAAAACATCTCTATAATATACACATCAAGAAAACTGCTTATTTAAATTAGTTTTTTGAAACATTCATTGCCCCCCTCCCATAAAGCTTGGTGACCCAAGTGGCTATTTATGTAGCCAACCACTTAATCTGCAGCTGTGATTCTCTAAATGATCACACATATTTCTTTTTTTTTTTTTTTAAATTATTATTATTATTATCATCATCTTATTTAGTATGCAAGTTGAAACAAATTTCATGCAACTATACATCAAAAGCGATACTACGTGTTAAAATATATTTACTGATATCACTATATATTAAAATTATATCATCTGAATGCAGCATGAAAAGCATTATTTCAAATGCAACTTAAACTCTAATAATTTTAAAAACATTTAATAACAGCAGACTTAAATGAATATTTAAGTATGATAAACACCAAATACACTACATTGAATACTGGTAAATATGAATAATTCTCACAAATGGGATTCCAAATAAATTGAACTTTAGAATTCCTGGTATGGAGGCCTGTAACTGTTCCCATGTGCTTAAATTATCTCCTAAGAAGTGAGAAGTAAAGCGGCCAGAACCAGGGAAGGTTGAACGGCTAAGAACCATAGGTCGGGTTCCTGGCATAATAATTGCAAGAGTTCTGCAAAAGATACGATTATAATTATCCAACTGAAGCACAAAACATAAGACTATCTGCCTATCATAAAAGATATAAAAAGAAATTATTAATTCATATACATACAGCAGTAAAACTGGTTTTGAAAGCAATTCATGTATTAATAAAGAGATAAAAGCATTGGGTCATCCAGAGCTCTGTGATTTTCCAATGATAAATGCAAAGAAATCAATATAAAAACTTCCAAAAATTCTACTGAATCACATAAGCATCATTTTGTTCTATTACTATTCACCATCTCTCTTGCAGTGGAAAATTACTTTTTTTAAAAGTCATTAGGTTTTTTTTCATAAAGAAATTATCCAGGTACTGTTTGACACTCTCCAAAGAAGAGTACACTAGATGGTTTAGAGGATAAATATGAAGGATGACACAAAAACATCCCAGCTCTAAGCAATGACTCTTGGACATTCACTGAAAGTAGAAGTGAAACTGAGCATTGTCATGATGGAAGACAACAACTCAACAACTGGTCAGTTCTGGACATTTTGGTTCAATTTCTGCTTTTAAATTTGCCATTTGGGAAGAGAATTTTCACAAATTTATAATCTAATTTGATGGCAACCACTCATAACATACAATTCTTTTGTAGAACCATCATACACAAAGCATTACTTTTTTGGGGATGCAGCTCCCTTTCAACATTACTAATAAAAGTTCAATAAGCTTACCCTGTTTTTTTTTTTTTTTTTTTTTTTTTTTTTTTTTTTTTTTTTTTTTTTTAAACTCTTTTTCAGTCATGAGCAAGGAGCATTTTTACTTCATTTCAACAACGAATCACATGCTAAAATTCAAGCAAGTTTGAAAGTATGGAGCACTGATACAACATATTAGCTTATGTTCCCAATCTTCTTAAAATGTTTATGTACTGTAATTTTCAGAAAATTTATTGTGTCTGATAGTTCTTAAATTATACAATTTAGATTTTCAGCTATAGCTTCTTTTAATACATTTTTATTTACAAAAAAATGGTTGTCCAGAGACTCATCATTTTTTAAATTAAAATTTCCATATTTAAATATTTATTACAGCATTAGAACCATGCCTAGAAGAAGAACTAACGTTGGAATATGTAAAGAATCAAAGAAGATGCTATTATTGAAAAAAATTAGGAGATTTACAAAAAGAATGCATATTTTTAAATAACTACAAAGAAAAAGACAAAAATGAAAATAATTTCAAGAATGAAAAGAAACTGAATATAGGAAATTATGGAAATAAACAAAAAAAACGGAAGTTGCTGTAAATGAGGATACACAAGAAGATGAAAATAAAAATAAGAACTTTGAGAAGACTGAGAATTATACATTCAAAGTTATCAAAGAAAGAAAATTCCAAAACCCAAATTGGTCACTTGATTCAGGAGTCATATTGCCACATGACACATGACTAATAAGATAAACATTTTCATGAAATTAGATAGAAGCAAAATGGAATTCAAATGAAATCCAAAGGCATTGGAGAAGGATACTTATACTTTGCAGACAATAAAGATAATGAAATAAAAATCGCACACATTTTATACATTCCTGACATCAAAGGAGGACTAATACCCTTATGAAAAATCACAAACAAAGGGTTTACAGTTGAATTTGAAAAATATACTTGCAGAATAAAGAAGAAAAATAAAAGCTTAGCAATTCCTAAAGCAGATAGAAAATTTATTTAAGATAATCGAATCACAAAAGAAAAAAAGGCAAAATTGCAGTTAAGAAGTGAAAACAGCATGGATCTTTGGCACGGATGACTAGGACACAGAAATTATGAAACAATCAAGAGGCCAAAGAAATGGGATGGGCTGGCAAATGAAATAAGAATTGACCGAGAAATTGAAAAAGATAAAAAAAGAATGTTCATTGCTGCATCAAGAAACAAAGTATCGAACTGCTGTATCCCATGCTAAACGACTGCAAAAAGAAGCCAAAAGTCTTAAGAACAGACAATGGAGGAGAAAACACCAATAAAGGAATTAAAGAATATCTAAAAGAAGAAGGAATTAAATATCAAAACTCTGTAGCATATGCCATAAGAATGATCTCAGCCAACACCAATACAAGGCTAATCAATATATTGTCCAATGGCTATGGTGCGACTCTCTAGCTGTACATATTTGAAAGTGACATGCAGGAACCACAGTTAATCGGGAGAAAATCACATTTACAGCATCCCCCCTTTTTTTAATATCATATTCTCCATTCCCAGATACTGTAGGTGGGTAGATTTTCTAATTATTACTTAATTTACTTTAATTTATTTATTTATTTAATGGCTAGCAGTCTGCATACTGAAGTCCATATTTTGGACTTTGAACTTTTAATGATGAATTTGTAAATCATATCTTTACTTAAATGAATTACTATGCAACTGAAACCATGCATCAATCCAAAAATAATCACATTCATGAACTCATCGTCAATCCGACATTATTTCAAATGAGTTCTTTCAAAATTTCACTGAACTGCAACAGAATATAGCATACGATAAAAAGAAAGAGAGAAACTTATAACATATATGAATTACATTTGTCTGTAAATAACCAAGATATATATACAATACAATTTTAATACCTGCAGATAAATAGAACTACATTTTACCAATACTTACATATTATTACTTTCAGTAAGTTTGGATTCTATTGGGAAATTTCATGTGAACCCTTCTTGTTTAACACTTAATAAAAGTAATACAAGTCAACAAGAACAAGATTTTCTTGATCTACATATTATTCAATACAATAAAATTAAACGGCTTGATAAAATTATTGAGCAAATTTAAGTTTACTATTTTTAAACTAATTAATTGGCATATCAACTTATAAAAAAAAAGTTAGCAACATAGTAATCAATCAAATTAACAGAATCAAAAATATCTGTACAGAAGTAGACCAATTAATTTTACTCACTCAAGTTTTTATAGGCAAACAAATTCCTTCCAATTTTATTAATTTTTTACTTAAAAAAGCAGGTGTTAACTTCCAAATTTAATCTTGAATTTAATAAGTCATGATGGACTTATATTAAACTGACCACAGAGCTTAAGTCTGATGTTTTGTGAGCTTTGACAATTTGTATATTTTATATTTATTATAAATTACTTTAATGTAAATAGTTCTAGCTACTTTTCTTTAACCCTTTGAGTGGTGTGGTTGAATCCCCATGGCTTGAGACCACATGCTGCCCAAAATCATTTTTCAGTGCATGTTTGGACTGGTGTGGTACGCAACCTCTTAGTCAGGCCTTACTTGTTGTCCGCACCTCTAACATCTGCAGATTAGCTATCTTTTTGCAAGAGATGCTACCAAGCTTACTTGACCCTGTACTACATGTCAGATGCCATATGTGGTTTCAACATGATAAGGCACCTCCCCATTACGGCAGATGCATTCATGAACATTTGAATCAGGTATCTGGTCACTGATGGATTGGGCGGTTGGACCGGTCCCCTAACCACCATATTATCCTGATTTAAGCAGCATGGATTTCTTTGTATGGGGGTGTACTGAAAAGTACTGTGTACGCAACACCTGTGGGTTCCAAAATGGATCTGGTTCCCAGAATCATCTCTGCTGTAGAAATCCAACAAAATCCAGGTGTATTTGAGCGAGTTTACCAATCCATGGTCCGACGTGTGTAACACATGCATCACTAGCAATGGTGAAAACTTTGAAAATCTTTTGTGACATTTTTACCAATCACCTATCACAGCACATGTAATACCGTATTTACGCGAATCTAATGCGCATCGTTTTTGACCAAATGAAGTATTCAAAATTGGGGTGCGCATTAGATTCGAGTGCAAAGTTCGCCGATGACATCAACCAAATTTAAATTGGTAACAATGGATTACTGGTATTTCTCGACTACATTTTACCGTTACATTATTGTTGACACATTATTGCATAGAGGATACAAACTGCAGAGTACATAGTCACGAAATGGAGGCAAACAGAGAAGAATGTCATATGACGCTACTTTCAAACGTAAGTAATTCTTTATGCTGAAAAAATGGCAATAGAAAGGCAGGGAGAGCGTTCAACGTAGCTGAGAGCAATGTTCGCTTGTGGCGGCAACAGAAATTGGCACTGTTTGCAACTAAAGATTCAATAAATTCCTCATACTATTGATGCGCATTACATTCACCGACAAACAATTTTTTTATTATTTAAAGTTTTAAAATGGGGATGCGCATTAGATTCGCATAAATACGGTATCTTTGACCAATAAATACTTCAGATGATCTCAGTCTTGTGTCTGTTCGTTTCTTGTACCTATCATACTACTTTTCCATTACACCAATAATCCTGGGACACCCTGTATAATAGCTTAAATTGTATAATATTCTTACAATGGTCTTATATGCACTGGTGTTTCTAAATTACCCATCAGTTTTTATAACAAACTTTTTGCAAATATGTCTTTTTTTGATCGCGTCAACCTTACCATGTTTGAAAATTATTAATTATTCATTTAAATACAATTTTTTTACATTAGTTCTCCATGATTAAATGAACTCATTCAAACATATGAAGGAGACAAAATACAACTATACCCAAATTATTGCAGATTTTTGTGTGGAAGGTTAATTCCCCTTGATAAGTTAACCAACCCTCTTTTGGGAAATGACTAATAATTTACTTTTTTTTTTTTTTTTTTTTTTTTTTTTATGTACGTACAGTTCTACCTTATTTTTATGTATATACTACTCTTTTTTCTTTTTCAAAATGTAGGATTTTATTGCATACCATTACAAATTTTAAAAATTATTTCAAGTTTATTACAAATTTTAAATATTTTTAACACATTCATCTTAAGTATTAACATTTCCTATTTCAATTTGCAAAAGTTTTAAATTTCCTTTCTTAGGAGATAATCATAAATAGAAAATTAATAACCAATTATGAATACTTAAAAAGACTTAAATTCATCAACAAACCTAAAAGTTACATTAGTTTGAAAATAGCCATATAAATTATGAATGTCATAGTGTTTTCCTGCATAATGGATGGAATCCATACAAATTGTCTTTTCAAATATTTTGCCATCTCGTTTTGAACCTAAAACACCTGGAATATTAAAAATAAATTTAAAATAAATTAAACGCATTTTAATATTATCATTATAATAAATAGTCATCATTCATTTTGAATCAAGAAATAACATATGAAATATGATTTGGATTTTGAAGCCATGATATATTATATTTTTATGTTAGAAATAATTATTCAGCTTTTTACAAAATATATCCTTTAATTAGCTTTAAACATCGAAAAATCCTTTTTAGCAAAAATAGTGTTAAAATACAAGTATATATGAAATTTACAGCACATACAAACTATACTCAAAAAAAAATTTTTTGCAGACAATTAATTATAAATCATGAAACATCAGTTTTAGGTATCAATTACTTTTTGTAGTTTTAGGTATCAATTACTTTTTGTAAAATCAGTACTTAAAAGTTTCTAAAAAAACATGTAAACATGAAATAAAATATATGACTGCTGGTTTTATACAACTCTCATACACTTTTACAGCGTAAACTTTCTTATATCTTAATGCATTTACAATTTTGCCGTAGCTTCACTTTCCTGAGATAGAAGAACTGTAAATTATTAATCATAATTTCTTCAATTATTAAAGAAGTTAAGAAATTGCAGCTGTTTTGAGAACTGTCTAATAATAAATAAAACATATTTAATAAGCAGACATACTTTTAATAAAAATAAAAATTTTACTATCTGTCAAAAATTATTTTATTAAGAAATGAAATCAAGTTAGAATATAACTTGCAAAATTTAAGGAACAAATTAATTTTTCAACAGAAAACCATGAAATTGGGTAAAGGACTTTTCATGATCAGTAAAATGAAAGCCCGACTCAATAAAAATTGCAAATATCATCACCATCATGATCATAATATCAGAGGGTACATCAGAATACGCATTATTATGCGAGAAGTCAGCGGTGCAGTGCAAGGCTACTTAAAAAAAAAAAAAAAAAAAAAAAAAAAGGAGACATTTCCAGGCATTCACCTGCAAGTGCAAGTGAAATTATACATGAAGTATGGCTACAAGAAAACATCAGAATGTCCTTCCAAGTGAGAGAATGATTGGCAAACTTGAAGCGGGTCAAAGTTTGACATTTGTCACACAAGAATTTGGAACTGATAAAAGTGCTGTTTCATGAGCTTAGAAAGACTCCTAAATAATAGGTAGAGCTGTAAGAAAGGTTTTTAGTGGTTAGCTATGGAAAGCAACAGTGACTGATGACCAGTATATCAAACTGCAGGCAAAAAAAAAGATCAAAACCAACAACAGGGAACATTGGTCAGCAGCTGTGCACAGTAACCAGAAGACAGGTGTCCCTGTTTAATTTGGCCAAACGACTTCATAAAGTGGCCTAGTCACCTGCTGTCCTGAATACTGCATACCATTGATAGCAGCCCATTAGCGGCACCATTTAACAGTTGTGTAGCGAATGCAAAGACTAGACACCTCATCAAACAGAGTCACGTCCTCTTTACCGATGAAAGTCATTTCAGTCTGACAAATGTTTCTTGCTACCAGTTGATATAAAAAGAGACAGGCACATGCTTTTATCCTGCTAACATCAGTGAAAGAGATCATTGGGGTGGTTCTGGCATACTTGTACGGGCAAGCACTATAATGAACGGACAAATGAAACTCCATATTTTTGACAGTTCACTTACCACAGATAGTTACTGTGATGAAATTATCCTTCCCCACATGCATCTTTTCCAAGGTGCTATTGGTCATGACTTTATTTTATGAATGACCATGCACAGCCATACAAGATTCATGCTGTTGAGGAGCTCCCGAAAAGTGAAGATATCCGCAGAATGGACGAGAACATGAGCATTCAACACGAGTGGAACATTTTAGGGAGAATCCCGGTGGTACAATCTTACCCTCTCAGAAACCCACACAATTGAAATAGATGCTTCTGGAGAATGGGAGCTCTTACCCTAGGAACTGTTAGATCATCTGATAATGAGTATTGACACAAGGTGCAATGTAACTATTGCAGTTAGGAGAGATGATATCTTTTACTAAGGGATACTATTTTATTATTTTCCCTCTTGGCCAGACAGTTTTTTGTACCAACATTCTGTCAATAAAGATTTTTTTTTTTCTATTTGTTCCATACTGTATGTGTCTTATTCATTTTTTTGTGGGGCGGGGCCTCCTATACTTTTCACAACCTTTAACATTTTCACGACGAATGTATCATATATGCATCAATACTTTATTCTCTTATGTGAGGGCATGCTATATGCAACTCACCTTGGAGACAACATGCTGTCGCAATAGTATGATCTTGCAGGACAGAGTCTTTTGCATCGCTAAGCCTAACTTTAAAAAAAATACATTAATTTTTTTTTTAATCCACTGCTTTATTTCTTCTGTAATGGTATCTTACAGTAATAGAATCATAAATACAGAATCTCAAGACACACTGTAAAAATTTTAATTAAACTCTAAATGCAAAATAAAATATTTAACTCATCTTGATTAAATGCATTACAAAACTTACCTAAATGTATACCTAAACATATGTAAAAAGTAATAAAATCTATGATTAAATATTAGAGTATAAATAATTCAGAAAGCAGACAGTGTATAACAGTCGCTAGCACTTCATTAGTTATGAAATATATTTTGAGGATGGGCCTTTTTAATTATTCCCAGCAGAATAATTAATCCTAGAATCCCCTCATTTTAGGCACATATACAGGATTAAGTTTTGTTGGTTTTGAATGAAGAATGTTTTCACTGATCTTTTGTTCATAGAAATTATTATTTTCTTCAATTATTATGTTCATTAGATCATTATTGAAAAAATAAATTTCATTCACATAACATTCAATTAAATTTGAATTAAATTCGTAAATGAACTTTATCAGTAGCCATATTTACACGCATCTCATTTAATGATGGCATGAGACTTTGTTTCAGTTAATGTAGTAGAGCACACGTGTATAAATGCAATGATAAAAGGGAGATAATCATATATGTGTCCAATAAGCATAAACATGCATGAAGAAACTTGAAATAGCATTATCAGCAAAACACTCCTGTAGACCTTGTAAATATCCTGGTCAAAGTTAATGCACAGGAGTCAAACTTTTTTTTTTTTTTTTTTTTTAATTTTTTTTTTTTAATTTTTATAATGAGTATAAAATTCTCTTAAATGTGAATATGAAGACACAGTCTGTATTTTTTTTTTTTTTTTTTCACATTGGCAGGATCTAGCTATTTATAGCTGTTGGCGACTACTAAGGCCAGGCATCTACTAGGTGAGCCACCATTACCTCCTATGAAGGGATGGACAAATTACATCCATGCCTTCTCTGGGATTTGAACCTGGGCCTTCGGTACAGTAGTCAGAGTAACTAACAATTTTTCTGTCTGGGCAGCTTGTATAAAATATTAAATTTCCTAATTTTCATAAAATTAATTATTTTTATTTTAAGAATGCCAAAATTGCACCATTTAAATATAATATACAGGATGATCCAAAAATCCATCAACATTTGAAGATTCAATAATTCGTGGAATAATGTAAGCAGGGAGGTAAAAATTGACACACATGCTTGAAATGACATGGTGTTTCATTGACAGAAAAAAAAGGCCAACGTATAGCTATGGGCAGATCATTTGACCTCATTATGGATGCTACAAGACAACATCTAATGGCAGTTTTTTACCATACCTACAGATATGCTGTACAGTGCTGTTCACAACATTGTCCCTCGACTATACATATTGTTGACAAATGACAGCCAACATGTTGAACATTTATTTATAAAGAACATAATCTTTGCTAAAAATCAATTATTGTGCTAATTATTGCTTTTGTTAACATGGGAAGTGCCATCTGTTGGCCTGTTTTAAGCACTGTTTTTTGCTTTCAATAAAAACCCATGACACTTCAAGCACATGTGTCAGTTTTTACCTCTCTACCTACAATTTTCAATCAATTATTGAGTTTTCATACGTTAATGGACTTTTGGATCACCCTGTACTTTTATAACTAATGGCTAAGTAAGGATTTTCATGGATGTGCTGTATACCATATATGCGCACTATAAATAAAATACTTATCTGTGGCTGGGTTTAATAAATTTGATATGGACTCAGTTTTATTCTCACATATAATGTAAGTCTGAAAACAAATTTTTCAGAAAGAATTTCCTAAAATCAAAAGGGTTTCTGCTCTTTGCTGCAAATAATAATTACCTACCCTACTTCACAGTAATATCTAAATATATGACTGTCTTAGATTAAGTTTGAAAAGTTATAAAATATATTGTCTTTAAACAGTAAAATCAACTTTAATAATGCCAATGATTTCACAGCAATTTTATGCTATATAGATTAGAGAAATTATTCAGAAATCTCAGAATTGCAAAGCTTCAATTAATATCTAGTTTTTAAAATAATTTATCTTTAAAATAGGCTTAAAGTACAATAGGATGTGTTCAGTATTTTTTGTTACCAAACAAATTTCTGGAGTGTCTTTGCAATAATAGATGGTGGTACTGCCTCACGATTTAATTATAGTTGCTATGGTAACAAATCTGTCAAATATGTAATTTATGTACTCTTTATTATTATTGCTACAGTGTATTTGAGTGATATGGGCATCGCAAAAATGCTGCGTTGTCATGAGAACAGCATTTCTTCTGTTTCTTCTGCATGTTTATATAAATTACAGTTTTAAAGTTACAGCCCATTAGTCTTATTCTTAAATATTTTTGGTACGTGCGACCGCAGCAGTGAATCAGCAAGCTATGGATATCTGTGATTTATTCAATCACGTAGTGGATTAATTTCGATTTCAGGATTATGCATGTGGTATAGTGTAGTGTAGAAACCTCAACAATGGGATGAGTACGTTCCAATTTTCCCCTCTTCTTTTGCTGAAAGTTTTTAGTATAATATTTATTGTTATTCATAATGGCTGATTTGAAACCCATTTTAACTAAAAAGAAGGTTCTAAAAAGCAATATAACTATGTTTAAAGGCAAGGTAAATTCGAAATT